CAAACCCACCAGCCACTCCTTGGAAGGAAGATGGGGCAATCTACTTCCGTAGTGATACTGCCTCGGAAACCCAAGGAGGGGTTGCTGTGAGTCAGTTCCAACTCGATGGCACATAACAACAACAACTATTCAAATATATCAGGTACACCCTTGGCTCAGGATTTCTACAGCTCATGTTATCTCTGCCTGGAATGCTCTACCCCAGGATATTCATATGACTTGATTCTTTTAACTCCTTCAGATCTTAACTCAATTGTCGCCTTCCCTGAGCACTTAATTTTAGACTTCAACTGCTCTAACATTCTCTCAGCCCTTCTCAACTTTATATTTCCAAACACATTTAATTCTTTAAAGTAGTACATATTTTGCTTATTTTCTGTCTTCACCATCACTGCTCCATGAAGGCAGGCGCTTTGTCTGCTTTATTTGCTGTGGTATTTCCATCACCTAGAAGAATGTCTGGCATATAGTAGGTAGTCAGTAAGTATGTATCATATTAATATTTTTTTTTTAAAGAGAAAGTCTTGAACCTAGGCAATCTCACTCTAAAACCCCACTCTTTACTTTTGCATTATACTATTATAAAAAATATTATACATGGTTATAAAAGAATTCTACATATTTAAAGAAATAAAAGTTTGGGTTTTTTTAATGAGCAGGCAACAAGAGACTAACAAAAATAACCAGGCATGTCTGACAGAGAAGTAAACAAAGTATTTTAAATCAAATATGTAATCATCAATATTTGAAACTTAATGGGCTCTACAGTCTTCAGTATGGATTACACCTCAAAATAAAGAAAACAAAAATCCTCACAACTGGACCAATAGCAATATCACAATAAATGAAGAAAAGATTGAAGTTGTCAGGGATTTCATTTTACTTGAATCCACAATCAACACCATGTAAGCAACAGTCAAGAAATCAGATATGTGGAGCTTTCAGCACACCTGTCTAAAGCATAGCCATGTTGTTGAACTCTAATGTTATCTGAATTATGTCAAGATTCAAGCCAAAGGGATAGTGGTGTAGGAATTTTTAGCAAAACTCTTTTTAATATTAGCTTTTTAATGCCTCTATTAAGGATTAAAATAATTTGAAATTATTAAAGGTGTCAAACTAAATCAAGTTTGAACAAGGGTAAGCTTACTTTATTTTGGTAAAGTAAAACAGTATTTTAATTAGTTATTTCAGGTCAGATTTGAAATATTTGAGGATTTGCTGGCCTTACAATCTCTGTCAAAACTCTTCAACTATTGTTGAACACAAAAACAACCATAGACAAAACATAAATAGATGTGCATGGTTGTTTTCAATAAACCTTTAATTACACTAATAGGTGAAGAGCTGGATTTGGCCTGTGGGTCATAGTTTACTGACCCCCTGGCTAAGAGGATAAATAGCTATGTGCCTTTAGAACAAATTGAGGAAGAAAAACACTTAGTCAACCATGGCCCATGTCCTGGCTACGCATTCTCTAGAAAACCAACCCTCCTTTCAGTCAGATAATGGAAATGTGCTAGTGATTTCTGCCCCCAGCTATATGGAGATTCACAGCAAGATCTATCACTGCCAGCTTCAAGCCTGGTGATAAAATATAAATTCAATCCTATCTACTTTGTCAATAATCAGGCCCTCTTTTTCAGTCATTATGATAGTAGGACCAATCTTTGCTATGAACATATTTTCTATATTGTAGATATACCTTGAAAATAACCTGCCATCAAAGTGCCAGGAACAATTAACTAAGAATGGAGTATGCACAGCAAGCATATAGTGCTGGGCCTCATGAAACATGCCCAAATAGTGTGCTGACCTCTCAATTGGGAGAGCCAAAAAAGAAGAAAAAGAAATCAGACATATATTACACTAGGCAAATCTGCTGCAAGGGACCTCTTTAAAGTGATAAAGAACAAAGATGTCATTTTACAGATGTGGTTGTTAAGGTTATGTGCCAACTTGGCTGGGTCTAGTTTTGAGTGGCTGGGCAGCTGGTGGTAGTTATTCTCCATGATGAGACTGGCAATCAACTCCATGGTAGAATCTGCTGTGAGCAGCTGAGTAGCTGCAATAGGGATGTGGTCTGCTTCCCATATAGAAGCAGCAGCTTTGGAAATAGTCTCTAGGTTTATGGCATACTTGAACTCTGCATATAGCCAAGTCATTATTCAGCAACCTGCCATGCCCTGCCAATCTTAGGACTTTTTCTGGACTTGAATTAGTGGCCTGCCATGTTGTTTGGTAATATTGGGAGTGTGCCTTTTTACTTGCTGACTTCAGGTTTGTCAGCCTCAGCAGCCAGCAACTCCCTGAGTGAAGAAAAGCCTCCAGCTTCAGTGGGCTGGGAGCAGGAGGCAGATTTGAAGCCCAAGGTTGAGGAGCTTTCACCAGCCCCTTGAGCCTGGCACTCTGAACTCGGACTTCTAGCCTCCACAATTTTAAGAGACTAAATCCCTGTTTGTTCGAGCCATCCCATTTGTAGTATTTCTGTTAGACTGGCATGAAGTAACCAAAACAGAAGACCATGGTGTGTCGAATCCAAGGCAATGTATTTTCAATGACCTTATATGCATCTGAAAGCTAGACAACGAATAAGGTAGACTTAAGAAGAGTTCAGGCCGTTGCACTGTGGTGTTGACGAAGAATACTGAAAATACCATGGACTGCCAGAAGAATAAACAAATCTGTACTGGAAGAAGTGCAGCCAGAATGCACTTTGGAAGCGAGAATAGTCAGACTTCATCTCATGTACTTTGGTCAGGTCGTCAGAAGAAACCACTCCCTGGAAAAGGACATCATGCTTGGTAAAGTGGAGGGTCAGCGAAAAAAGAGAAAGAATCCTCAACAAAAGGGATAGATAGTAGCTGCAATGATGGGCTCAAGTACAGCAGGGATTGTGGGGATGGCACAGAACTAGGCAATGTTGCATTCTGCTGTATATGGGGTGACTATGACACAGAGCCAACTAGACAGCACCTAACAACAACAACAAAAGGTGATCTCCACTTCCTATAATGAAGGCATAATGCATATTGTAATTTGTCAAATAAACCCTCATGCTATGAGCTAAATAAGTGTTTAAAAAAACCTATTGGAAAAGCATTGAAAGATAATAATTATGAATAATTATGGGGTCAAATTCCAAGAAGATAAGAAAACCAAGAGAAGTAAGCATGTTATTTGAGCAACCTTTTTTACCTGAGTCATCTGCCAGCCCAGAAAGGGGCAGCTAAAGGGCTGAATAGCTGAGCAGAGTTCTCAAGATTGCAGGAATGTCAGTGACCATCAAGAAAAGGCAGCCCGATTGAGGTTCCAGCAAGACGGCGAACTAGGCAGAAAGACTGCACAGACCCTCTTCAACAA